ACTCGACTCTTTTCCCTCTCCATAAGCTGTTACAGCTCGAACGTAAAACGTGTAGGTGTCTCCAGCGAAAAGAGGTGTCTTAAACTGAGTCTGACCTCCAGTGACATTTGTGCTATTGAGTATGTAACAGTACCTGTACTTTGTGGTGTCACACCAAGAAATTAAATAACGCTGCAACCAAACAGATAGGAGTTCCCAGTCAGCACTAAAAGCCCAAGAGAGATAAAGCAATACTTACCACACATTATGTCAAGTCATGTTATTTTCTATTTATCCAATAAACACCTTAGAGCTCTCATGAACTCGTTCTCAAGTGTCTGTGTATTGAGAATTGAGAATCGAGAATTGAGAATTTCGTGTGCTGGTTTTTGATGAAAAAGAAAAATCCCAGACAACCCGTTTGTGAACAATAGCTTTCACATAAGACTGTCTGTTCACCGTCGGCTGACTGAACGTGAAAATGAAATGCATTACCTTCAAACAATTCACACTGACTAAAATAAGGAGGTATTTTCTTTTAGTATATATCTTTTTTTAACACAAATCAAGTCATTGTATATTAGCCCAAATTCTCCTGCAATAGAGAAACATTCAGGGCTGAAAAAAATGCACGATAATCAGCCCTTGTCCTGCTCTCCGGACTGGACGAAGATCTGATGAATAACAATTATATATTAACAAGAATTAACAGCTTGCACTGAGGACAAAAACGATAAAAACATAAACGTTTCTAGCCAAGGAATAAATGGCACGTGATACCTTAATGTCTTTGGCTTCCACATCACTGGGTTGATCCCACTGAAGCGTCAAGGTGTGATTTTCAAAGTTCTGTTTCAGTTTTTGAACTTGGCCGAAATAGCGACTTATTGTGGCTGTTGTGGTGGATATCTCTCCAGGACCAAAGATGGTATTTGCGTAAACATTGAAGCTATAGGTTTGGTCCCGCTCCAGGTTAGGTACGTGGGTTGTCGTGTCCTTCAATGACACTTTTGAATCAGACCTCTGAGAGTAGCAGCCAGGACATGTCCAAGAGATGTTGTAATTCTGGAGCGTGGTAAAAAAATAGAAATAATAAAAATATTCAGCAACAACAAGATAACGGACGACAAAGTAATAAAATATAACTGGGTCATTACTGAAGTGTGCATAACTGTATGTTACAAGTACTGATACATGACTTCGTCTAGTGTCACTGTGCGATCGTGTGGGTGAAGGGGGCTGGTTCATTAGCTTAGAACAAACGCCGGTCAACAGATGTCAACAGCTACCGGTACCTTACAAACGACAAATTCATGGCATAAAATGTGATCAACAATAGTTACTACAACTGACCAATGGCAGTTGGCAAACTTTACCCGAAACTGACAGCACATATCATCACGGCTTAACCGACCAATCAGTTTCAACGGACAAGATCGACTGACAAATACTTTTCACTTGACTCTGAATATGGCCTCCGCTCACGTTGTCGAAACGTCCACCAATAAAAGTTCTATTCAGAACTACCCTTACCCAGGGGGTCGGATAGCAGCTCTTGTAAGGTATCACATGAATGGCTTGATACCCCTTGAGAGGACAGTAGAACAAATAACAGAAACAATGCTCCTAGCCCCAAACAATAACAGCTGCTAACAAGCAAAAGAATTACAAGCTTGTGAGAGCTGCTAAACTTCTGTCATCCAGACGATCGCACTAGTCAAACTACTGATACTCTTGGTTCAAACCATTTACTTTGTCACTGATGCATGTTAACTACCATCTGACAGAATGTCATAGCCTTATACAATTTATATGTACCTTATGACACGGTACAAGTAAGTACATAAAAATTACACTTTCGTCTCAATGCCAAGAAGAATGCTACATGCACAGTATTTACCTTGAGACCTCTGTTCAAATTAATTGTCCGTGGCGCAGACCAAGACAGTATGACAGTGTTGTCTTGAATTGTTTTCTGCAAGGGCCCAACAGAAGCTGAGAAAGGACCGGTCATTTTCACGATGGTAACACCCCTACCAAGCTGGTCACCTTTGTAAAATCTTGTCTTTACGACAAAAGAATAGCTGGTACTAAAATAGAGGTGGTTGAAGGTGTAGGCAGTTTCCTTGCCGACAGTGTCTGCCTTGACCTTTGTTGTAAGTCCCGACATCGGATTTTTGAAAGACTCCTCAATCGTATAGTTCTGAAAAATATAAGAAAAGTATGCACCTTCAAATTTAGTGGTAGCAGACTATGGGCTCATCCACAAATTTATCAGGTTAGAACTAGCTTGAAAAGGATAATAAAAAATACCTGATGAAAATACTATTCAATACACAACATTTGGGGCCAGTAAAGTTCGAAGGCTTTCCGCATGATTCAATGGACACGGTCATTCACGGGCTTAAACGTACGGTAGATCTACCTAGTGCAGCACGATACTTAGTACCACCAGAGAGTTTAAAGTCTGAAGTTTCAAGCACATTTTAAAATGTTCATTGACTTTGTAACGCATGCCAATATCGGACAGGAATCTGAGTAGTACATACTTTGATGGCATCTGAAGATACGCCCGCTGGTTTTTCCCAAGTTAGGACAATAGTACTGAAATCGGTAACAACAGCCTTCAGACTATGTACAGGCTCATCTTCCGCATCTAGCACAAGAAACAACACATTAATGAGATAACTGGTACTTATGACCACACTTGTAATTTGCAAAGATACATACTATGTTGTAAGACGGAATACATCTGTATCAGAAAACTGACGGAAGCATCCTCAATAAGCTATTTTACGATAACTGCAAAAATTCTCCCGCGCTCCTTGGCTTATTTTTATTGTCAATTAGCGGACAGACTCATAAATTTATAATTTATACCATGCGTCAACGAGCGAGAGCGGACAATTTGACAATTTGTTATCGGCTATCGCCTCGTGGATCTACAGCTACTATGACAATGTTATGACGAAATCATGATCAATAACAGGACAGACGCATGAAAAACTGATGTCAATTTGTTAATTCACATTGGTTGTCTCGTGTTTATTGTAGTCAGAACCAATAAAAGCAACAATAACGGGATCATGATTCTAAAGATCAAAATCAAATTTGGCAAAGTGACTCAAATTTCCCTACACGCACTAATTTCGCCACTACATAATGAAATCTACAAACCAAATAATGTCTTGGAATTGACTGGATCACTGTGCTTCCCCGTCAAACCCACGGACACCTCAAACACATAAACAATGTCCTGTTGCAAGTTGCCCACCGCAAAACTCATCGCTGAAGTATGACCCACTGGCCGAGGATTGACTCCACTTGTCAAGGGCCCATAGTAGATGTAGTAAGTCTGAATAGGGTAGAAAAGGTTGTCAACTGTTACTTAATTACACTTGAAATAATTACATGATTTGTACAAACTTCAGTCCTTCTTCCCCAAGGACTATTCAGTGCTTTTTCAAGGACATTTCAGCAACATTCAAGGACTCGTTCCCCTTCGAATCAGCTGTTAAAGTTTGTTTCGGCAGATGACACAAAATACAGAATACTTAAGAGCCTGCTGAGGACAGAAATACTTCATATAATGATCACTCAATTCCTGTATCATCAAAATCAATTTTTTGCGACTTGAATCGTTTTTCTCAACCTACAGTTTGCGTCAATATTGCCGTGTTTTATGGTGTAGTCTGAGGTTTTGTGGGACTTGTCAATAAATTTCAAGGACTCCTGGTAAAATTGGACAACCTAAAGAACTCTTTAAGGATATAACAATTTTTCAACGACCGTTCAAGGTTTGTGCGAGCCATGTATAAATCTGAAAACAATTTAATGGCACATCAATTTAAAAGAATCGGGCCCAAGAAACGGATCCAAGAGAAAACATAACCTTCAAGTTTGAAAGGTTAAAAAACTGACTTTTCTCCAAGATTATAACACCTTCACCCTTTCTAAACAATCTTATTAAACAAATCTGCATGATAAAATTTGAGTAAAAGAGAAGGAAACATTAAATAAAGATAAATATTAAAATGACATCGACGAATGCACTTGAGAGTAAGTGCTTTAATAAAACCTCTTTTGGAAATGTTTAAGTCTTCGATTCTTGTGGTAACTGTTCCCGCGTTTCCGGAATAAACCTTTCATAAGTTAAAATGCATTGTGCCCAGTTTATGTTAAGAGTGCAGTAGCCATAAGAAAACAATCAAAGCATTTGATAGTTCTCTCTATTCAACATGTCAAATTCAGTTCATGTTTCTCAAGGGAAAAACTTTCAAGGAGTCAATGAAATTGGTAGTGTTAGTGCAAGTATTATTACGTTGCAGCTAGGCGACGGGAGAAAAAGAAAACGCCGTAAATCTTGCTCTGCAAACGTCATGGAACACATCAGTTGATCTCAACAAACTTTTAAAAAAAAATTTGACGTCGTTTTGGCGGCCTTCTGATGGTTTTCATTAAAACTAGAAAATCCAATTGCAAAATCTGCAGGGAAGCAGAGATGTCAATTGCCAGCGCCGCAATTAAATGTGGAGCATAAAAACTCCTTCCTCACCTCGCGCATTTTGATTGACCATTTGAAACGAAAGCCTTAAGGAGTTTCTACCAACGCCTATAGGTCACATAATTATCAAAAGTTAAGGTAGCTCCCTATAGTTTTACGATCGCACGCGCGCCGGCTTAGGACGAAACCTCAATTAATCTGCGCGCGCTCAAAGGAAAGCGTCAGTGTTTCTCAATAATTTATGACGTCAACGTGAGCACAAAAAGCAAACTGACGGACAATTTTCTCGCGTTTCGTTGGGTGAAATTCCGTAAAATTTGGAAAACGGGTAATAAATACTTTAATTTAGTTGGAGCTCGTTTTTCAGGGAAATCTATCTGACCAGTTTTTCCGCAGAGATAAATTTGCAAAAATCTGAAAAGAAAAAAAACTGTCTTTACAAACCCTACTTCTATCGTGTTTAAAATTCGTGTCTCGCCGGTTTTAATGTAATGTAAAAAACTTGGAAGATTTCACCAAAAAAAATTCAAGAAAATCGCAAATAAAGCCATAAAAACGGTAAAAAAGGTAATTGTTTGGGCATTTATAATTCAGGATTAAAAACCAAGATTTTAACGTAGATGTTAGTTAATCAATATATCATCATTGCTTACTACATTTAATAAGTTTGAGAGGACTGGGTGTTAAAACAAATGCAAAAACAGCTTTCAAAGCATAACACCAGCGCGGAGGGCAATAAACCATTACCCTATTGAGCCACCTTAATCAAAACTTTAGGGAGTTTTAGCAAACCACGACGGCGACGGCGACGGCGACGAGAGCGACACCAAACAAAAGGTTTAATGAGCAGAACAATAGCTGTGCACGTGTGTTTTGAATCTTGGTACATTTCTTTGCCGTCCTCTGCAAAACAACGACGTGAAATGACTAAGTTCTGTGTATTTTGAAGAACGCGAACCACAATGGCTAATTTTTGGTATCTTCTTTTAGAATTGAACGTTGTTGGTACATGTTTAGCCTGAGCAAGTTTTTAGACCGATAGGCGTATTGAACACATTTACAGAGTTGCAACCTTCGAAGGTAAAATATAAATTCGTTTTTTACAAGGTGTCGTCCCCGCCGTCGCCGTCGTCATTGCTAAAACTCCCTTTTGTCAGGCGGCAACAGTACGACGCACTGCACTGTAAGTGGTTTTAAACCTAAACAACACTTTCTTCAGCCAATACAAACTGTGCAATCTATGTTACCGCCTGGAATCAACCCTCCTTACATGAAGATGATTGCAACTTACCAAATCGCCGTGCGGTTTATCTTTTGGTGGCTGCCAAGTTATCTCTATGGCTGTGTAGTTATGTGGCGTCGCCTTTACATTTTGAGGAGCTGTTTCTGCTTAAAACAACCAAACAACAGCAGCGCTTCAAGGTAAATGAAATTAAGTCACAAAATTAATAAATTTGACATTGACTTTGTCGCGAACGCTTCCACGCTTTCGTAGAACAATCTTTCGCGAAAGAGCCGTACACGAAGCCAGATATTATTTATCCATGCAAGATCCTGACTAACAATCAGACAAAGTAACGACCACTTCTCTGATCAGACCGTGCTTACTACTGAGCTAAACCACGCTTTGCATGTGACTGAGACCCCTCACTTGTGAAAATCACTCAAACTTCATGGATCTCTGCTGACAGGGGTGCCACCCACCGGACCAAAAAGAAAAAATCTGTGACTTTTCCCTGACTGTAAAGCAATTTTCACTGACCGTACAAGATGATTATTCTGGGCATGAATCCACAAAAATGAGAATGGCTCAGATAATTCTTAAAACAAAATTGCCTTAGCTTGTCTATACAACAATATCTAATAAAATAATTTGCGGCAACCTTGAGATAAAATTCCATTACTTTTCACTGACTTTGTACAGGGATGCAGAAATTCCCTGACCTGATACAAAACTCCCTGACTTCCCCCTGACCTTGAATAAAATCTTATTTTCCCTGACTTTTCCCTGACCGTGACAATCCTGTGCAGACCTAATAAGCTGGCTGCCCTTACATCGCAGCCTTGTTGATGATTTTTTAACTAGTTGTACCATGGGTAGAACGTTCTTTCCCCGTCAGAATAGGTTTGCAAAAGCCGTAAGGAATTTCTGGTGAAATTCGCAAGCCTTCAGAAGGGTTTGGGGAATTTCAGGAAATGTTCGGAAAACGTCAAATTACCTTCAGATATTTTCAAGAGGCTTCGGGTGAAGTTCGACCAGCCTCGAAACACCTCGGATGAGCGTCGGTAGTCTTAAGCTTCTTTGTAATCTGCACTGGTGTTGCACTTTTTCCACTGGTGTTAAACTTGAACTGCATTGCTCTTAGCCAATCGAGAATCAAGTAATTTTGTCAAGCGAACTATAACAATGTTAGCGTTATATATGTCAATATCCATCTAAACTCCATACCTGTTGACCGTTGTGGTATCTTAGGAATCCCCTGGTACTGAGGGACAGAACGTTTAACATCTACACTGTAAGCTTGCAGCTGAAAAAAAAAAAAAAAAAA